AAAGGGCAACAGCAGAATAAAGGTACATACTAGATAGAGCAACCGCAGAGTAAAGGGACATCATTGATAGGACAACAGCAGAGTAAAGGGACATCATAGATAGGACAACAACAGAGTAAAGGGACATAATAGACAGGACAACAACAGAGTAAAGGGACACCATATATAAGGCAACAGCAGAGTATAGGGACACCATAGATAAGGCAACAGCAGAGTAAAGTGATATCATAGAAAGGGCAACAACAAAGTAAAGAGACATCATAGATAGGTCAACAACAGAGTAAAGGGACATCATAGATTGGGCAAAAGCTGATTAAAGGGACACCATATATCTGACAACAACAGAGTAAAGGGACATGATAGATAGGGCAACAGTAGAGTAAAGGGACATCATAGATAGGGCAACAGCAGAGTAAAGGGACACCATATATAGGCAACAACAGTGTAAAGGGACATCATAGATAGGGCAACAGCAGAGTATAGGGACACCATAGACAAGGCAACAGCAGAGTATAGGGACACCATAGATAAGGCAACAGCAGAGTAAAGTGATATCATAGAAAGGGCAACAACAAAGTAAAGAGACATCATAGATAGGTCAACAACAGAGTAAAGGGACATCATAGATTGGGCAAAAGCTGATTAAAGGGACACCATATATCTGACAACAACAGAGTAAAGGGACATGATAGATAGGGCAACAGTAGAGTAAAGGGACATAATAGATAGGGCAACAGCAGAGTAAAGGGACACCATATATAGGCAACAACAGTGTAAAGGGGCATCATAGATAGGGCAACAGCAGAGTATAGGGACACCATAGATAAGGCAACAGCAGAGTATAGGGACACCATAGATAGGGCAACAACAGAGTAAAAGGACATCATATATAGGGTAACAACTTTGTAAAGGGACATCATAGATAGGGCATCAACATATTCAAGGCACATCATATATAGGGCAACAACAGCGTAAAGGGACATCACAATTAGGGCAACAACATAGTAAAGGGATATCATAGATAAGGCAACATCAGAGTTATATGACATCATAGATAGGGCAACAACAGAGCAAAGGTACATCAAAGATAGGACAACAGCAGAGTAAAGGTACATCAAAGATAGGACAACAGCAGAGTAAAGAAACATCATAGATAGTGCAACAGCAGAATAAAGGTACATACTAGATAGAGCAACCGCAGAATAAAGGGACATCATTGATAGGACAACAGCAGAGTGAAGGGACATCATAGATAGGACAACAACAGAGTAAAGGGACATCATTGAAAGGACAACAACAGAGTAAAGGGACATCATAGATTTGGCAACAACAGCGTAAAAGGACATCATAGATAGGGCAACAACAAAGTTAAGGAACATTATAAATATGGCAACAACAGAGTAAAGGGACACCATAGATAGGGCAACATCAGAGTATAGTGACATCATAGATAGGCAACAGCAGAGTATAGGGACACCATAGATAAGGCAACAGCAGAGTATAGGGACACCATGGATAGGGCAACATCAGAGTATAGTGATATCATAGATAGGCAACATCAGAGTATAGGGACACCATAGATAAGGCAACAGCAGAGTAAAGGGACATCATAGATAGGGCAACAGCAGAGTAAAGGGAAATCATAGATAGGGCAACAGCAGAGTAAAGGGACACCATATATAGGGCAACAACAGTGTAAAGGAACATCATAGATAGGGTAACAACATTGTAAAGGGACATCATAGATAGGGTAACAACTTTGTAAAGGGACATCATAGATAGGGCAACAACAAAGTAAAGGGACATCATAGATAGGGTAACAACTCTGTAAAGGGACATCATAGATAGGGCAACACCATTGTAAAGGGACATCATAGATAGGGCAACAACAGTGTAAAGGGGCATTATAGTTGGGCAACAACAGATTAAAGTGACATCATAGAGAGGACAAGAACGGAATGAACGATGAACAATTAAATGTTGCCATAGGATCAACAGATAACGTTTAGCCTTTTCAGTGTCTCCTTAAGATAGGTTGATCGATCTGATTGTATAGGGGTTAACGTCCTATCAATAGAGGTCACAATATATTTTGTTCCGCATTATGTGCTACGTTACTGTCTGACACAGTCACAAATAAGATTATCCAAATGAGTTAATTTAATTTAATTCGACCCGATACATATGAGATAGCGTCAAAATAATCAGACGAAGCTATAAACACGTTAAATATTGATTATATCCCAACAGGTGATTACAGATGTTATGACATGTTAGGGCTGTAGGTTTACAGATACAACAGTCAACCTATCAAAGTATAGTCAGCCTAGTGATAATTTCACCTGAAATTCCATTATGATATTTCTAAAAGCATTACAAATCAAACCTAAAACTACATGTAAAAATAATAAAATATTTCATCGAAGACCAGAAATGTTATTATTTACTTTACTCACAGATGATTCCCAAAAGTTTATTGAAAAATTCTATCATATATATATCTGAGGGTGTTCCAAGTTAGGAATTAAGCCGTCTCGACAAATTTATTTTTGAAGCAAATAAGATAAGAGCTGTATTTCTTGAACTCGTACTCCAATTTTGTCTTGCTGTTTCACATCCTTATTATGTAAGTATGAAATATGTAGTATGTACTCATGGGCCGTAAGACATACAATCAATAAATTGAATTGAATTGAATAGTCTATAATATAATACATGTATAGAGTAGTATAACAACAGAGGGGGTACCAGGTTAGTCTATAATAGTATAATACAAGAGGGAGTACCAGGTCAGTCTATAGTAGTACAACAACAGAGGGAGTTCCAGGCTAGTCTAAAATGGTATAACAACAGAGTTTTATTTTTATTAACATATTTTATTTCCAAAAATACAAAAGGGATTAGACACAAATTATAAAACTTAAAGTTCGCCATCTCCCTTAAAACAATAATGATGAAATATACATAAACATTCCATAGACGGAATTTTGTTGCGAACACGTCTACTATTTAAATGAAACAAGGATATTTCTCTGTTACCTTCAGCTCCTAGATTTGTCTCTATATCGTTACATAAAAGTAGTATCATTAAGAGGATTATTACAATATTTGTGTTTGGAATTGTATTGTACTGTATTGTATTGTAATAAAAACATATGACATGTAATAGGCTTTCATAATGGTAAAAAATAAAAACCAAAAATTTGATAAGTTAAAAAATGAAAAATGTTCACACGCGGTGTGTATAATTATTTTATGACACTCGATAACAAAAAAAACCGGTATACGTAGTCATATAATGATGCCCGATTGAAAATATTATGACACAGTATTGAAACTTGACTGGAAAATTTCACGGAATATGTTATTATATAATTAGCACTTTACTGACGGATAGCCCGGTATATATAATGATATACTAATACCGCCATTCGACTGACAATAACAAGGTAATTACACATTATCTTATAATTATATATTACATTATACATACAATCATATACTGATACTCATGTGAAGATACGACGGGGTACATCAATAGAAACTGACACTGCTGAATTATCGCGATATACCATATTGTATACCGACACTCGTCTCCAGATAACACGTTGTTCATAATTAAAAACTATTGAATGAAAATAGCACGATACACATAATGATGTAATGACATTCTGAAGAAAAGTATCGAGATACACTTAATCATATAATGATATAATTCTACTGAATTAAGGAAAATATATGACCATATATACGTATGGTGCATACATATACAGTACTTGGACTATTTTGTCACGTGATCAGGAGGACTGGTGTAACCTTCAGAGGGGTACTAGGTTAGTCTATAATAGTATAACAACAGAGGGGGTACTAGGTTAGTCTATAATAGTATAACAACAGAGGGGTACCAGGTTAGTCTATACCAGTATAACAACAGAGGGGTACCAGGTTAGTCTATACTGGTATAACAACAGCGGGGGTACACGGTTAGTCTATAATAGGATAACAAAAGAGGTGATACTAGGTGAATCTTTAATAGTAAAAGAACAGAGGGGGTATTAGGTTAGTTCATTAAGTATTAAAACAGATAGGGTACCAGGTTAGTCTATAGTAGTATAACAACTGAGAGGGTACACGGTTAGTCCATAAAAATGTATCAACAGAGGGGATACCATCTTAGTCTATAGTAGTATAACAACAGATGGGGTACCAGGTTAGTCTATAATAGTGTATCAACAGATGGGGTACCAGGTTAGTCTATAGTAGTATAACAACTGAGAGGGTACACGGTTAGTCCATAAAAATGTTTCAACAGAGGGGATACCATCTTAGTCTATAGTAGTATATTTACATTCTGTATGCTTAGACCCATTGACAAAAATTACATTCATAAATGCATAACACAGGTGTTCATAGAATCTCAGCACGTGGAAACTGATAGTAACCTGATCACACTGCGTAGTAATACACTACAAAAACTACTCACTCGGAACGACCGACCTAGATGCTTAATTCTTACATCTTAAAATATTATTGAACTGTGCTTTGTGAAATATCCACGTATTTACGTGTCCTGTGCTACAAATAAACATTGAATATGGAACTACATTTTGTTGTGTTATTGTTGTTGACGGTTGCTAAGATCTCTCACGATAGTGTCACATTTCCCCGCGAAAAAACACTGTTCTCGCCACTGCATTGCACCCGTGTATAAGCAGGAACAAACCCTGTTTATTTGTTTAATTCGTTGTTATATCGATCCACTGAAAGGATTCGTCAATGTAAATATAAGGAATGATATCTATTTTTTCAACATTTATGAGATCATAACAACAATGGGTTTTTGGACATATTTTACATGAATCGCTAACGCGATTCATTCAATATGTCCATAAACCCATTGTTGTTATGACCTCATAAGTGTTGAAAAAATAAAAATCATTCCTTAAATAACAACAAAGGAGTACCAGGTTAGTCTATAGTAGTATAACAACTGAGGGGTACCAGGTTAGTTTATAATAGTATAACGACAGTATTCTAAACAAAGTCTTCAGTGACAAACCATTTTCAGTTTCAAAAGTTTAAAAACTGGTTTCTTATCCAAACTTTGGTTTTATTTTGGTGAATCATTTCACTCGTTCTTCATCCGATTGTACCTACAATTGAAGCGCTTGGTGATCTCCTCCGTCATGACCTTCCATTGGACCCCGTTCTCCTCCACATTCGCCCTGTCAGGGTGGTAGTTCACCACAGCTTTCTGATACAGCTTTTTCTTTTTGCTATGATCTATGTCTGATGTATCCGTTGGTAGAACGAATAACTTCTTGTGCATTGGATTCTTCGGTGGGAATTTCCTATGTTAATTAAACAGAAAGTATATTATTTTCTTGCAGCCACACTGGGCAGGTTAATGCAGCTTTAAGTAACATAACATTGGTGTTTGTTTTTGTTTCGGTTGATCAGCCCCGCAACAACCATGGCCATCTGAAGGTGCAGGCCTAAGAAAACACCACCAAAACTAAAGAGCAGGGAAGTGTGAAAAACGTGTTGTAATAGGGGCAAGATATCATATTTGATTTTTCAAATTAAAGAGATAAAATAAACTCCCGATTCTCCAGGGAACTCCACATTAGTTGCCTCCTATGATCGTACAGCGGATAGGGCAGATATAATCTTTCCAAATACCTGCAAAGCTATATTGTCATATAACTATGATGCAATGAGATACAATAAGCCATATCTTTTTTTTCCCGATTTTTCCTAACCAGCTTATATATAATTTAGTTCAGGTATAGAAAGTAAGCTAGGTATAACAGTTACAAATTATAACTTGTTTGTTGGCGAGTGAAAGATCTGAAAGAGCAAATACCTAGTGAGAAAGAAACGCTATAGACCGTAATTGTTGTAAGTGATGCAGCAGATCAATCGCGTGTTTGTTTTATAATACTTCATCAGCAGTAGACGCTGAAAAAATAAATCCCAATTATGTAGGGGATGTGGGGTGGGTGAGGGTATCCACATTTGTTGCTTTTTATGATAGGATGCAGTGAGACGCAGCAGGCCTGTTCTTTTCCGCCAAACCTGCACGGGACAACTCATTCCGCGTGTGCTAATAAGAGAGCGAATGCAAAAATTAGAGCTTTATATTTATATAATTATCATTAAATATACTAGTACAACTGTTTCTTATTAACCCCCTAATTGAGTATATGTATTCCTGCTGTCCCATCCCTATAGGTTCGGGAGTGGTTTCTTTCGTGTCTTACATGTATGTTTAGTGTTTCTGTTTCCCACCGCATGTGTATCGTAAGAGGCATTTAGTGTCGGCCCCCTGCAGAATCACAGGTTTTCGTCAATGTCCTTTACTAACACGACATGGAAAAAAACCATAGTTGATATGCTGCCCCATTGCAGCATTTTGGAATGTTTTTCTTTTCCTATATTTCCTGTCTATCTTTTTCTTTCTGCTCTCTCTCTCCTCTCGGCGGTGTCTCTCTAGACACCCGTTCTGATGTGACACTGGCTGTCAACAGGGCTTTATACTGGAACATGACTCTTACAGGGGCACACAGCTTAGCCTAGTTAGTGCAGATGTAGACAGACTTACTTGTATACGTAGTCAAGAAATTCTAGATCTCTCTTTTTGTCAGCCTTTTCGAGCTCGTCCAGTTGTTCTGTCATTCCTTTCTTTACCTCTTCTCTATTTTTGTTCCATTCTGCATCGTCCTGTACTTTTGCTTCGTCTTGATACTTTTTCAAAATTGCAGAAGCGTCGATAAACCAGTCTGAATTTAGATCAAATAACTAAATAAACACAGGGCCCGTATTCATGACACCATTCACATGCTTAAGCATGGATTTTGTGCTCAAACCAGCTTTCTTGTAGCTCACCTAAATCCTGTCAAAATATCAAAAAGTCAAATGTAAACATTGAAAACAGTATTCGGCTGTAAGTCTCTTATTTTTTTCCCCAAAATCATTGACAAAATAACTTTTTTTTATTAATCTATAACCAGAACAAGACATTAGGCTTGAGCACAAAATCCATGCTGGAGCATGAGAACGGTTTCATGAATACAGGCCAAGGTCTTTCAATGCACTTTATATATTTTATAGTATCTCAATATCGTTCGCACTCGTGCAAATATCGGTATATTCTGTCATACAAGTCAAATACATACCTGATTCAACGCAAAGACCAATAAGTTTCCTATATCTTGCATTTTTAAAGAAACAAGACGAGAATATTAATGCATCCGAAAAATGCGTGAACTAGTAACGCAATATTTGATGGAAAATTCTAATGAAACGCTCGACAATAAGGCAGAGCGCCATGTTAATTAGGTTATTCGACACAACTATTTCGTTTGCTTTTATTATCTAGTATGATTTCCAAACAAAATTATATCAAATTTGTTGTTCAATGTTTGGCGTGGTATTCGTAATTCAAACTTCTGATTGGTTGAAGTTGCTTTGAGATGAAATAACTGCACAATGTTGTGCAACATAGTTTTTTTGGTCAGAATTGAATAGATACACATTGATTATGAACTAAAAAAGGCGTTGTCTGTCATTTTAAATATAATTATAAGGGATAACCATGATTATGTTTGGAGTGATACGGTAGATACTGAAAAAACTGTGCGCAACTTAGTGCATAAACCACTTCATGGATTTATGCAAAGCGCACATTTTTTTTCGGTATATACCGTATAACCCCCAAAATAATCATGGTTATTCCTTATACATTTCTTTCTCAAAATATTAACTCATCGTATATGGCACGAAAGACAATAATAAAGCAAACACACATGTTAAGCTATAGCCATTGACCTATAGCCAAATTGAAATAAAATAATTTAAGGTACATGTAAATTTATCACCAGTATTTCGAAAAAGAATGCACATATTAAAAGTAAATATTAAAAGCAAAGAAATTTAACATTATACTACAGCTTATGTCCATTTCATACATTTAGGAATTATCAATATGACTAATGGTCGAAGGAATGAAAATCGTTGTCTAAATTTTCCGAAACACGAGCACAAAGGTATTAATGCCAATGGAGGAATGCCAATAACAGCCTTTATAAAGCTACAAATTTACCATTTCTTTGACTTCGAAAAGTGCTCATTAAAATTAGAGTTTCATGTAAACCGTGTCAGGCTGTACCCAGATGCAAGGTGAAGGCCAACCTCTGCGATATAATGACAAACTATTCTATTTACCCTCCGAGTTGAAAGTTCGTGGATGCATGCTATGTGCCAGTTGAATAGACTGCATCACGTAGTCCTTGGCTTTGTCCTTCATCTTGAGCACCTTGTCATATATTTTGCCTAATCGACTTGCTGCTATAGCTTCCAGTTCCATTTCCGTTCTCTCGCGCGTTCGCAGTACAGCAACTTTATACCAATCAACTACGTCCCAGACCATCTCCATGTTTACCTTCTCATCTTCCTTAATGACCAGCTCGAACAACTTGTCACCTTCAAAGGTACGTAAAAATGAAGATATAAATCATTTATATACTTTTGTTCATTTTTTTGTTAGTTTTGGTTTAACGTCCTTGCAAAGAAATATTTAGATCCCAAGTGTTTTAACGAGGACAGTTGATCTCTGATAGTCTTTCCAATTAATGTTCTCTTTGAGGAAGACACAGAAAACCTTCGATTCTGAAGGATGTCCCACATTAGTCGACTCTTACTACATGCAGAGGGATATATGATGCCTATTCGTTCCCTTAACCCTTAAGTGGGGTATTAATTATACTCAAATATTTATAAATAAAGAGACTAAATAGGTACTTAAGGTGCTAGAAAAAAACCATTACAGTAATTCCTTAAGGTTGAAGTTTAGACGAATGCATTACATATCCAACCTTATGCTATGAATATATTAACAATGAGAAAATGAAAATTTAAAATATATAAAATCGGAAGAATGGAAAAATAATATTACACAAGACATTAATTATTGCCGAGATTTTGGATCCCCGTACCACTGCCAAAGACTTAACTATACATGTTTTACCTGCATGACAAAAGCTTTAATAAATCATCAGTGTTCTCAAAGTGAAAATGCACATGAGGTCAGATCGCGAATCGAGTCGTGCTTACCAACTGCGCTACATGATGATATATATCTATCCCTGGTGAAGATTTTCAATGTGCATGCGACTGCTTAGTTGCTCATAATTGCTTTAAGTACGTGAAAAATGCCCTTTTAATTGGTTTTAAAGGGTTTAACGTCCTATCTACAGCTATGGTAATTAAAAGATGTGTCTGATATGCCTATATTTATCACTTACCCACATCTATTGCTTGCATGGCATCCGCAGTACACTTATGCATTATGACGTCATCCTCTAGCGTATCACATTCCAGTCCTACATTCTTTGCATCCAGACATTTTTTCCTAGCTTCGTGAATCGGCATAGAACAGTTATTCATTTCGGACAACCCACGCTGGTATTGACCATTCTGAATTGCAGTGACGCCGTTCCGGAAATGAATCCTTGCAAGATTGAGATAAAAATTACCCCTAACGTAGTCTATTTCAACCGTCTGTAGGACATTGTAATATAGATCAATCTTATTTTCCATATCAAAGTGATTGTCCGTGGTTTTTCTAAAATCCAACCAGCAGCTGTCAATGTACGAGCAAAGCTTTGTTTTCCAAGCTGAGGTATTACAGGGAATGCCATGATTATAAGCAAAGGAGAAATACCTGAAAGCCTCTCTGTATTGGAGTATACTTTTTGAAGCTGTACTATGGTACTCTATTTCTGCTTCTGCTAATTTCCAGTAGGTCCTTGCTGCATTCTTTGCAGCAGGTACCGACTCCTCGTCCTTCGCCGCCGCCACGAACGCCCTACAATAGCAGTTTGCTGCCTTGCTTAATCTACTTAGTTTGATCGCTGCACACAGACCCTGTGTGACAGAGGTGTATATTCCATTGCCTTCTTTTCTTAGCCTCACAGACAGGCTGTCAGCATTGGTCTTGTTTTCTGTAGAAAAAGAAACAAATCATAGGCATCATTCTCATGAAATGATTGGTTGATCGGGATATTTTGCAATGGAATAACCACGATATACCGTTTGCAAATGTTTCGTTTGCATAGGAAGCTCGGATGGAGATTGTTTATACCGCCAATGACCCTGACACGTCATAAAATTGATTATTAATGACGTCACAAAAATAGTGTGATCCCGAAAGTTCAATGTAATTCCTCGTCACTTTGAACATTCCTCACGTCACGAATCCACGGCAGTCACACAGATTTTGAAGAAAACGCTTAAAAATATCTAAAATCTTGACCCCTGGCATACCATGAACATAAAAACTGTAAATTTAGAAGAAATCAAATATAGAGATACACAAAGCATGATATCTACATTGTATATCAAAACAAAAAGGGTCAGACAAACAAAAAAATCACACCTTCTTCTGTTCCAATAAATCAAAACTTCTGACAAATATAGCAATGACTTTGCTTGTAACCATAGAAATGACCCCTCAGCATCAAGGTCACATTTATACTCTCTCTCTTTACCTGTTGTGGAAGGCGGTTTCTTGTTCTGGCTTCCTGTGGTTTTCGTAGGTTCCTTTGTGTCACGTTCCCATTTGTTCTCGGATGATTCTTCGTCTCTTTTATTGTTACTATTTTGGTCTGAGATTTCAGTCTTTGATGCGTTATTCCTCTCCTTCGGAACGTCTGTGTAACAATCCCAGTACTTTCCAGATGATTCGTCGTCAGATTCTTCGCTGTAATTTGCTTCCGGGAGATGAGCATTTGGTACATTATTCTCCTCCTTCGGAGTTTCAGTATAACAATCCCAGTACTTTCCAGATGATGCGTCAGATTCCTCCCTGTAATGTGCCTTCGAGAATTGAGTGTCTGATTCATTATTTGTATTTGTAAGAGCCTCTCTGTTACGTTTTCGTTGTTTTTTCGATGGTCTTTTGGCGCCCTTTCGTTTTTTGGTGATGGTGTATGTTGACTTTGATTCACTATTATTCTCCTTACTTCCAAGACTACCCATGATGATTTCTTAATTCGCAGCTTTAAAGGAAACAGCAACAAACATGGAAACTGGTCAGTTGTTTGTCCTAGTATGTGGTCAGTCTATGGATATTTCCTAGTCTGTGGTCAGTCTGAGGATATCCAAGTCTGGAAACTACAAACAATTTGTACAGTTGTAATATTGCACAATATTAATACATGTACATAAATCATGCCAAAATCTTAATAGAAAGGGGGTTGCAACTCTCTCCATTTTATGACCAAGGGACTAATTCTCAAGGAAAGAATCAGACCCCGGAATTACACTGATAGCATGATTGTGTCCGTCTCTCCATGCACAGCAAATACATATTTGATCATAGGTTGGGGATCTCAACAGTTTCCATGATATTGCCCTTCAGGGCCTAAGTAATCGAGGAAGGGGCCAGACCCCTGATCAACTTAATTCAGGGAGGATACTTATGCTTATCTCATCATGGCAAGCAATCGTGCATTAATAGTTATGAGATGGGGATCCCCCGACTGGAAGAATCACTTTGTCAATAATATTAGTATAATTATATTATTCTCATCACACCCACCAATTGAACGTATGTTTATCATTACCCGGAGCCTTGAGAATAAATTGCAGAAATATTTCAACATATTTGACCCGTGTGACCTAAAAAGGGTGTCAAGGCAATTAACTTGAAAAAAAAGCACTTGGTTGTCCCTCTTCCCAGCATGCTAATTCAAAACTATTAGTTCCGGAGCCCTTGTGAGCTAAAAATGAAATGATACATTCTCTTGGGTGAAAAAAACTGTATCATACGTTGACAAACAGCTATTTGTTGAATATAATTTTCTATTGAATTTTTTATCTAATTGAATTGTTTTTGTTTGTTTTTTTGTTTGTTTGTTTAACGTTCTATTGACAGATAAGGTCATTTAAGGACGTGCCTCCGTGTGTGTTATGTATGCGTGCATTTGTGCTCGAGACATGTTAGATTGGTGTAATTGCCTCCTTGTGATAGCGCAGATCTGATGCCGAATTTATTGTGCTATCTTACTGAAATAATATGCCGAAGGCACCAAGCACAGCATTCCTCCCTGTCACATTATACTGACAACGGGTGAACTAGTTGTTACCATTACCGTAAATGCTGAACGTTAAGCAGGGTATAACAACTACCATTTTTAAGGACTTTGGTATGTCCCGGCCTGGGGATAGAACCCATTGCCTTCCTAACCTGGGCGAGCGCTCAACATTAAAGCAAGAGGAGTTAGAGGTAGTTAGAAATAGAGCGTAAATACCAATGACATGAAGTGATCTAAACCTCCCAAACGTTTGAAATTACAGTTTAGTTCCGAACATACATGTAGCTATACTGAATCAAAATGTTGAATGCATATACAGTTTGCAACACAGGAATCGATGTAGTTATTATGTATTTATTTTATCACAAAGTGATTTCCGGTGAATATTCATTTGGCGTATTAACCAATGTTATATGACCTATCAGCGCTGTGCTAGGTTGTAAGTTTCAATTGTGACGTCACGCCTAGGACAAGTACATGACGTCACAGACTTACGCACTGGAGTCAAAAAGGCAGCTTTTTACATTTCAAGGTTGCATGGAAATTGTCGTTTCACACGAATGAATGCCACATATCTTGGTTATGTGATAAAAGGATCTTACCCTCGTTTTCATTTCATATGAAATTTATGAAACTCATCACGAATTTTTCATTTAAGCTCGCCAGAGGCTCATTAAATTGAAAAATTCTAAGACTCGTTTCATAAATCTCATTTTTCATTAAGTTATACAGATCAAGGATATCCGCGTATACGGCTGAGCTGACTTCTGCATATGTCATATGACCACGTTTTGTTAGGTACATCATCAATTGGAGGCACGATAGTCTAGTGGTAGGACGCCGGGCTCGTGCCAGAAGGGTTGCGGGTTCGAGTCACGTCACGGCTTTGTGTTGTATCTTTGAGCAAGATACTTTATTCCGCTTGTTACAGTCTACTTAGCTGTAAATGAGTACGTGGTTGGGCAGTGCTAGAATTGTTGAATGCTAGCTGTGGGCGCCGAAACGGCAGCACCGCCTGTATGCTCCACAGGGAGTTGAGAAAGATATTGGTTGGTTGCAAAGGCCCTATAACCACGGATAATAATGTGTGAACCGCTTTGAGACGACCTACGAACTCGGTTGTGATAAAGCGGTATATAACAATCTCGAATTGTTATTAATATTATTATAGTATACCGATGAACTGACTTCTTTATATGTCGGATCGTCACTTTTTGCTCGGTACATCAGTACTTATAATACATAGTATATTCCATGTTACTCACCTGATTCTCACCTGTACTTTTCCTGGGCCTCGGCTATTATCAATTTAGGAACAACTCTTATCAGCACAATAAAATGTTCATACGTATATATAGGTATACATACCTGCACAGGTACATGTAATTGACAATATTCCAAAGTACTGGTCTCTAACACGTTTGTGTCACATAATGATACGATTGAAGAACGCACAAAGCAATTATTAAACCTACAGTAATGCACACTGTCAAAACGGCGTCTATATGTGTGTGTATTTTACATGTCTATATATTGATCCAGTGAAAGTATTTCTTCTAAAATATATGATTCAATGATAATTCTAGAAGTGATTGAAAAGTGTTGTAAATGTTTTTATTTATTCCTACATTATGCTCATATTTCTCCATTTAAAACTATCGGACGTAAAAAAAAACAATTTATATTGTCTCCCTTGGGAAACATGAGTTATCTCGGGGAAACAACTCTTCATGCCTCCCTCATACCAGGGCAATAAGTGTATATCATAGATAGCGCAACAATAGAGTAATAGTGCAGTATAGCTATGGAAGAGTAAATGGACATCATAGATAGGCAACAACTAATTAAAGGGGCATCATAGATAGGGAACAAACAAAGTAAACGAACATCAGATAAAGGGCAATAACTAAGCAAAGGGATATTACAGATAGAGCAACAACAGATTAAAGGGACCTCATATATAGGGCAACAACAAAGTGATATGACATCATAGATAGGCAACGACATAGTAAAAGGACATTATAGATAGTGCAACAACAGAGTAAAGGGACATCATAGACAGGGCAATAACAGAGCAAAGGGACATCATAGACAGGGCAACGACATAGTAAAAGGACATTATAGATAGTGCAATAACAGAGTAAAGGGACATCATAGACAGGGCAACGACATAGTAAAAGGACATCATAGATAGTGCAACAACAGAGTAAAGGGACATCATAGACAGGGCAACGACATAGTAAAGGGACATCATAGATAGTACAACAACATTATAAAGGGACATCATAGATAGGGCAATAACAGAGCAAAGGGACATCATATATTGGGCAACAACAGAGTGAAAGGACATCATAGATAGGGCAACAGCAGAGTAAAGGGATATCATAGATAGGGCAACAACAAAGTTAAGGGATGTCATATATAGGGCATCAACAAAGTAAAGGGACATGATAAAGGGCAACAACAGAGTTAAGGGACATCAAAGATAGGGCAACAGCAGAGTAAAGGGACATCATAGTTATGGCAACAACAGAGTGATAGCACATCATAGATAGGGCAACAAGAGAGAAAAGGGACATCGTAGATAGGGCAACAGCAGAGTAAGTGACATCATAGATAGGGCAACGACAGAGTAAAGGGACATCCTAGATAGGGCATCAGCAAAGGAAAGGGACATTATAGATAGGGCAACAACAGAGTAAAGTGACATCATAGATAGGGCAACGACAGAGTAAAGGGACATCCTAGATAGGGCATCAACAAAGTAAAGGGACATCATAGATAGGGCAACAACAGAGTTAAGGGACATCAAAGATAGGGCAACAGCAGATTTAAGGGACATCATAGTTATGACAACAACAGAGTGATAGCACATCATAGATAGGGCAACAACAGAGAAAAGGGACATCGTAGATAGGGCAACAGCAGAATAAAGGGATATCATAGATAGGGCAACAACAGAGTTAAGGGATGTCATATATAGGGCATCAACAAAGTAAAGGGACATGATAAAGGGCAACAACAGAGGTAAGGGACATCAAAGATAGGGCAACAACAGAGTAAAGGGACATCATAGATAGGGCAACAACAGAGCTATGGGACATCATAAATAAGGAAACAGCAGATTTAAGGGACATCATAGTTATGGCAACAACAGAGTGATAACACATCATAGATAGGGCAACAACAGAGAAAAGGGACATCGTAGATAGGGCAACAACAGAGTAAAGTGACATCCTAGATAGGGCAACGACAGTGTAAAGGGACATCCTAGATAGGGCATCAACAAAGGAAAGGGATATTATAGATAGGGCAACAACAGAGTAAAGGGACATCATAGATAGCGCAACACTATAGAAAAGGAACATCATAGACTCGGTAAAAACAGTAAGGGGAAATTATAGATAGGGCAACAACAGAGCAAAGGGACATCATAAACAAGGCAACAACAGAGTAAAGGGATGTCATAGATAGGCAACAACAGAGTAAAGGGAATCATCGTAAGGTCAACAACAGAGTGATATGACATCATAGATAGGTCAACAACAGAGTGATATGACATCATAGATATGGCAACAACAAAGAAAAGGGACATCGTAGATAGGGAATATCAGAGTAAAGGGACGTCATAGATAGGGTAACAGCAGAGTAAAGGGACATCATAGTTAGGGCAACAACAGACTGCTATGACATCATAGATAGAGCAACAACAGAGTAAAGGGACATCATAGTTAGGGCAACAACAGAGTAAAGGGACATCATAACATATAGTGTTGCCATTGAATCTTCAATGTCACAAGGGAATTCACAGGACATTTGCTTTTGCATAGTTACCCCTTTGTGAATATTTGACAGTCACATAATGAAATTTATCCAAACGTTTGTTTGTTTGTTTGTGTTTTAAGTCCTTTTAACAGCTTTGGTCATTTAAGGACGTGTCAGGTTTTGGTGGTGGAGAGAAAAACGGAGTTCCCGGAGAAAATCCACCGACTTACGGCCAGTACCTGGCGACTGCCCCACGTAGGCCTCGAACCCGCCACCAAGTGGTGGAAGGCTTGTGGTAGCAGTTATACAAAGGAGTTTATTTAATTTTATTCGACTTGATACAGATCTGAAAAAAATCGAAATGATCAGACGAAACAATATGCACGTTATATATTGGCTTTGTTCGACGATTTATTGAAGATGTTACATGTATCAAATGACGGGGATGTAGGTTCAAATACATGTGTTCGCACGATAACATTAGAGGGGGTATAAGGTAAGTCTATAAAAGCAAAACAACAGAGGGGGTACCAGGTTAGTCTATAGTAGTATAACAACAGAGGGGGTACCAGGTAAGTCTATAGTAGTATAACAACAGAGGGGGTATCATGTTAGTCTATAGTAGTGCAACAACAGAGGGGGTACCAAGTTAGTCTGGAATAAGGTAAGTCTATAAAAGCAAAACAACAGACGGGGTACCAGGTTAGTCTATAAAAGCAAAACAACAGAGGGGGTACCAGGTTAATCTATAAAAGCAAAACAACAGAGGGGGTACGAGGTTAGTCTATAGTAGTATAACAACAGTGGGGGTACCAAGTTAGTCTATAGTAGTATAACAACAGAGGGGGTACCAGGTAAGTCTACAGTAGTATAACAACAGAGGGGGTATCATGTTAGTCTATAGTAGTACAACAACAGAGGGGGTACCAAGTTAGTCTATAAAAGCAAAACAACAGAGGGGGTACCAAGTTAGTCTATAGAAGTATAACAACAGAGGGGGTACCAAGTTAGTCTATAGTAGTATAACAACAGAGGGGGTACCAAGTTAGTCTATAGTAGTATTCCAACAGAGGGGGTACCAGGTTAGTCTATAGTAGTATAACAACAGAGGGAGTACCAGGTTAGTCTATAAAAGCAAAACAACAGAGGGGGTACCAAGTTAGTCTATAGCAGTATAACAACAGAGGGGGTACCAAGTTAGTCTATAGCAGTATAAAAACAGAGGGGGTACCAAGTTAGTCTATAATAATATAACAACAGAGGGGGTACCAAGTTAGTCTATAGCAGTATAACAACAGAGGGGGTACCAAGTTAGTCTATTGTAGTATAGCAACAGAGGGGGTACCAAGTTAGTCTATTGTAGTATAGCAACAGAGGGGGTACCAAGTTAGTCTATTGTAGTATAACACCAGAGGGGGTACCAAGTTAGTCTATAGCAGTATAAAAACAGAGGGGGTACCAAGTTATTCTATAATAATATAACAACAGAGGGGGTACCAAGTTAGTCTATTGTAGTATAGCAACAGAGGGGGTACCAAGTTAGTCTATTGTAGTATAATAACAGAGGGGGTACCAGGTTAGTCTATAGTAGTATGACAACAGAGGGGGTACCAAGTTAGTCTATTGTAGTATAATAACAGAGGGGGTACCAGGTTAGTCTATAGTAGTATGACAACAGAGGGGGTACCAAGTTAGTCTATTGTAGTATAGCAACAGAGGGGGTACCAAGTTAGTCTATTGTAGTATAACACCAGAGGGGGTACCAAGTTAGTCTATAGTAGTATTACAACAGAGGGGGTACCAGGTTAGTCTATAGTAGTATAACAACAGAGGGAGTACCAGGTTAGTCTATAAAAGCAAAACAACAGAGGGGGTACCAAGTTAGTCTATTGTAGTATAGCAACAGAGGGGGTACCAAGTTAGTCTATTGTAGTATAATAACAGAGGGGGTACCAGGTTAGTCTATAGTAGTATGACAACAGAGGGGGTACCAAGTTAGTCTATTGTAGTATAATAACAGAGGGGGTACCAGGTTAGTCTATAGTAGTATAACAACAGAGGGAGTACCAGGTTAGTCTATAAAACCAAAACAACAGAGGGGGTACCAAGTTAGTCTATTGTAGTATAACACCAGAGGGGGTACCAAGTTAGTCTATAGCAGTATAACAACAGAGGGGGAACCAAGTTAGTCTATTGTAGTGTTACAACAGAGGGGGGACCAAGTTAGTCTATAGTAGTATAACAACAGAGGGGGTACCAGGTTAGTCTATTGTAGTATAACAACAGAGGGGGTACCAAGTTAGTCTATAGTAATATAACAACAGAGGGGGTACCAAGTTAGTCTATTGTAGTGTTACAACAGAGGGGGTACCAAGTTAGTCTATAGTAGTATAACAACAGAGGGGGGACCAAGTTAGTCTATTGTAGTATAACAGCAGAGGGGGTACCAAGTTAGTCTATCATAGGAGCATAACAATAGACGGGGTACCAAGTTAATCTATATTAGTATAACAACAGAGGGGGTATCAAGTTAGTCTATTGTAGTATAACAGCAGAGGGGGTACCAAGTTAGTCTATTATAGTATAACAACAGAGGGGGTACCAATTTAGTCTATTGTAGTATAATAACAGAGGGGGTACCAGGTTAGTCTATAGTAGTACAACAACAGAGGGGGTACCAAGTTAGCCTATTGTAGTATAACAACAGAGGGGGTCCCAAGTTAGTCTATTGTAGTATAACGACAGAGGGGGTACCAAGTTAGTCTATCATAGGAGCATAACAACAGACGGGGAACCAAGTTAATCTATAGTAGTATAACAACAGATGGGGTACCAAGTTAGTCTATTGTAGTGTAACAACAGAGGGGGTACCAAGTTACTCTATTGTACTATAACAACAGAGGGGGTACCAAGTCAGTCTATTGTAGTATAACAACAGAGGGGGTCCCAAGTTAGTCTATTGTAGTATAACAGCAGAGGGGGTACCAAGTTAGTCTATTGTAGTATAACAACAGAGGGGGTAACAGGTTAGTCTATAGTAGTTTAACAACAGAGGGGGTATCAGGTTAGTCTATAGTAGTACAACAACAGAGGGGGTACCAAGTTAGTCTATAATAATATAACAACAGACGGGGTACCAAGTTAATCTTTCATAGGCGCATAACAACAGGAAAGGCAAACAGCCATCTCTTTTACGAATCTCCACTCTTTCGCTATTAGGCAGCAGAACCTGTTGAAACTTTCAGGTAATGATTATGCAACCGGGGATTTGTGTGTGTGTCACATTGTTTGGACTTATAACACTAACAAAAATTAAAACAAACGTTGCATTAACAAATCAAATATTTTATTTATCACAATGTGAGCATCTAAACAGCAAAAAACAAACAGGATGCACAATGTCATACACAAAGAGTGAAAATAATTATAAAAATATGTTTAGGAAGAAATGCTTTTTGTTTCATTTACCTACATATCACAATATCTTTAATCCGCATTAGAGATGTCTTCCTTACAAAAATAAAGAACTGTTTTTCAAACGAACACATGCTTATAGTAACAATTGTCTCACAGCAGATATGTATATATAAACGATGAATTTATATTAATTGCATGACATCAAAATCAACATGATAATAAATATAAATTGAAACACAATTTACAAAATACAAGTACTGTGCATTCCAACACTGTTATTTACTAAGTTTTCCGTGTCACATAATAATAAATAGGTATAGTGATGTACACTAACAAACTTACGTGATAACTATAACACTGACAGGTCAGCAAGGTTCCCGCAACGTGCCTGGTCGCCGTCACTACCCCCCTCCCCCATTGACTATTCTTAGTAACAGTAACCTTGACCTCGACCTTAAAAAACTTTTGAAAACCTTATTGCACATCTACATAACACAACTTTCAGAAAGATTAAATTACCGGAAACGAAAGTGTAAATGGACAGACAGAATTAGTATTGGGCACCCGCACCTTCGATTCGGAGCACTTATAAACGTGAATTATATAGCGCCGTATCCTGCTGGACCTAGCAATTGCAGAGCGCGTTAGAAATTGATATTGAGGACATGAATAAAAAACACAAAATATTTTCAATTAATATGAAATGCATATACATATACATTTAATATTTAGCTCTGTAAACTTGATCTATTAAGGATAAAAACACATCTTCCACCGTGCTCTCTTGTTAGGGAAATGGATTAGATAAAACACATGGATATCACAGTATACATAACGAACGTAAGGTTAACATCACTATTAGATCTTAATTAGCTAGCACAAACAAACAATATAACTAAATCACCTCATGTGTCTTATTACATTTTGAATTGTCACTTTAAGGTTTAGAGTAAAATAATCACAGAAGCCAAACATATATTATCCAAATTTCTTCTGTAAGGTAATCAGTAAAAAATACGATTACCCTATAAGCAATTCATGCTAATGTAGCAAAAATACAAATTGACAGAAGACAGGTTTATATAGAGCAATAAGAGAAATTAATATCAATACAAGAAAGATATTTTTAACAATGATAAACAACCGACTTTTCATGTTCGTAGACTATTTCATATTTAACATTTTCATAGTCTGAAATAGCCGTACAGCTATGGCACCTCTTCAAAAGATATACACAGTTAAAACAATAAATAATTGCAACAAAAATGGCTGTCGCATTTTATGACTTAGTTGAAGCAAACCCGCTTTCAGATCGTTGTGGAGAGGATGACGGTGGTGGGTTTGGTTTGATTTTGTTGAACGTCCTTTTAACTGGTAAGATCATTTAAGGACGTGCCTCCATGTGTGTATGCAGGAGACAGGATATGTTGGTATGCTTTTCTCCTTGTGATAGCGCGGATCTGATGCCGAGTATATAGTGCTATCTCACTGCAACACCATTCCGCAAGCATCCAGCACAGCATTGTAATTCGTAACCTTCGATATCTTGTGTAATACATTAGTTTTCACTAGCCTACGCTACTAATCAATAGGTCGATTTCTTAATTATAAACTTTGAAGAAAACCCAGTAGAAAACCCTCAATTATGCAGGGGCACCCGCATTAGTTGTACCTGTGACAGGCCAAGTGTATCCTCGCATCTGCAGATATTAATAAAACCAACTCAAAAATATAGATATCAAATTGATATATATATATATAGGACCTAACATGAGTTTCCATTTCAAATGAGATTTAAGAAACGAGGCTTAAGAATTTTTTAATTAAGCGAGCCTCTGTCGAGCTAAAATGAACAATTCGTGACGAGTTTCATAAATCTCATATGAAATGGAAACTCACAACAGACTTACCTGTTCAAGCCTTTAGAGCTGATGTACATTTGTCATAGGAAATCAATGTTGTGCATGTAAGTGCGAGAAGGGAGGTAACTTCTAAATGTAACACACTACCAAAATGCCTCCAAATATGATTTACTCAATTTATTAGAGTCGCTGTTCAATGCAAAAAAATCTCAACTGCAAATTTCCAACAATCAACTAAAAAATAAATAATTACATCCAATATTGCAAAAGCAAATCGTTTTGAATTAACATAATAAGTAGTATTTGTTTTCTACGTTGAATATGCTTTGACGACTTACATATTCTGTTTGTGCAACAAACAAATAATTATAATAATAATGCAACCAGCCTATATCTTTTCTCAACTCCCTGGGGAGCGCACAGCCGGTGCTGTCATTTCGGCGCTCGCAGCTAGCATTTAACAATTCTAGCACTGCCCAACCACGTACTCATTTGCAGCCGTAATTCGAACCTGCAATCCTGCGGTTACGAGCCCGGCGCCCTACTACTAGACTACTGTGCCTCCGTAAACGAATATTTCTTATGTTTGTTTATAAAAAAATATATAGATATTCGATTTCCGAATGTCCAATGTTTGAAGATATATTAAAAGTATGCCAGTTTCTATTCAAAACATTTCCTAAGTTTCCTAAGTGCTCTATGGTGAAGTTGATATTTTAGCCACTTAGATGTTTAAGGTAAAATAAGATCGTCGCATCACTCCTGTTCGTTGATATTTAACAGCATCATATTAAGGGTTAGGGCTAGGCGACCTTTGCATTAGCTAATCAGATGACAGTGTACGTTTTCCCGATGATAGGCTGTAAAACATCCAAAACGTGACAGGGGTCACAGGAGAACACGGACATTGGAAAACAATCTGTATCGAAACGTGTAAGAAAGCTGCTCTGGGAATGGTTCGAAGCAGGAGATATCTCGTCTATTTGATTGGCTTATTGGCTAATTACGATGACGTGTTGAGGTTAACCTCTATCGTGACATATCAATAAACGGAACTGATGCGAATATCTATTTTCTGCATACTGTATCTACAGATGTATTACCAAGGTGCAATCGCCTGTGTTTGTGTGTTACATTCATCTTTAATATGATTCGTTATCCACTTCACTCGCCCTTCATCCGATTGTACCGACAATTAAAGAGCTTGGTGATCTCCTCCGTCATGACCTTCCATTGGACCCCGTTCTCCTCCACATTCGCCCTGTCGGGGTGGTAGTTTACAACAGCTTTTTGATACAGTTTCTTTGTTTTACTATGATCTATGTCTGATGTATCCGCTGGTAGAACGTATAGCTCCTTGTGCAGTGGATTCTTTGGTGGAAATTTCCTACGAAAATAGAACAGACAACGAACTATTTTTCCCGTCACGATAGGTAGATGGATACAATACATTACATATATACTTTATAAACATGTCTGTTTTCTTTGTATTTGGTTAAACGTCCTTGCAACAGGTGTTGGCAGATGTTTATGGGGAAACCGCCGAAAAGAAAGCGTAGGGGAGAGAGAAAAATAAAGATAAGAACCGGTATTATTAATATTTGATTTGGCCCATCAACACAAAAAAAGATCATTAGGACCAATAAAGGTAGATCAATAATGCTAAAGGAAATGACTTCAAACGAACGAAAAAGAAAAAGACAAACGCCAACTTGAAAAATTGTAAATTTGGCTATGGTTAGTTATATCGTTTTGAACAGACCAACAGTTTTTAGGTAGGTTAGAATTGTAGAGCTATTAACTATTTCGAAAAGTGATTGAGATCTGTTATATTATTATAAAAAAACTCTCTTGTTGGCTGAATGTCAGTGCCATCTAATAACCAGTGTTTTACTGTAAATGGTTCGTTTTTCAATAAATAAGAATGGGTTGTGTATGAATGACCAATCACGAGACGGGCAAGGACGACCTAGTGTCGTCGTTTTTCTCTATAGCTTGGATACCATTCACCGCATTTACACAGTGTCATGAGTTGTCTACGCACTGATTCCAACTATTTTGGCATTTGGAACTAACAAACTTTGTTATTAATGGTTAAAATATGTCAAATAAAGAAATCAACAGGTGGTAGCAATAAAGCCACTTTGATGGCACAAAGGTTAATATTGCATTATGTTTGGTAAGCATTTTGATTAACTTCCTTTTAGCAGCTTCAATTATTCAAGAACGTGTTTCGATGCGGGTAATCCATGCGTACATGTGTATTTGTGTGTTGGAGACGATATGTTGACGGTCACACTATACTGGCATTGCCGTACAAACTGGTCATTAAGCAGGAAATTACTTTTAAGGACTTTGGTTTGTGTCGCCACATGAACAGAAAAAGTTGCCTTCCTCACACTAGCAAACACACTTAGGCCGAAAGTTAGATATTGCCAAGGAAGGCGATAGGACACAAAAACTGTAAAAGATCCCAAATGTTACAACTGGTAAAGTAGGTTTATTTTGGGCACTGTTGTGTCCTCAAATAGACGGCCCAAATCAAATCCCAAATTCTGTAGGGGATTCCCACATCATTTGTCTCTTACATCATGCAGTGATTAATAGCAATGTATTCTTTTCTCTATCTCCGACCTGTGGGGATGATATTGAAGTATTCTTTTAGGTAGACTAAGACTAGTTTGTGCCGATGTTTGCAGACTTACTTGTATACATAGTCAAGAAATTCAAGATCTCCCTTCTTGTTAGCCGTTTCAAGTTCGTCCAGTTGTTCTTTCATTTCTTTCTTTATCTCCTCTCGTTCTTTATTCCATTCTGCATCTTCATCTGCTTGTGTTTCGTCTTGATATTTTTTCAAAATGTTAGAAGCATCTTTAAACCATTCTGAATTAAAAAATGAATAACATTTAGATAAATAAAATAATAGAATCTGTACGCGTATAATTTCGCGTTACACGAGCAATGCACACAGATTATTTTCACGTTTTGCTGATAATGAATAATTTTTTGTTAAGGATCCCGGACCACTATCATCAATTGTAATCACGCAGTGGAAACTGAATATTCCCCTTTCACTGTAGCTTTGAAAAATCATTTCTGAAAAGAAAACAGTACCCCGCTGGAACATTTAAACAATTAAGAGAAAATGAACAAAATTTGATCCCGGACCACTGTCGACAATTGTAATAACGCAGTGGAAACTGATTTTCCACCTACACTGTAGCTGTGTAAAATCATTTCTGAAAAGAAAACAGTACCCGTTGGCATTTTTAAACAATGAAGAGAAAATTAAAATTTTTCAATCAACAACATTGTTCTGAGTATAAAAACATTCAAAACAATCCATGGACTTCATATTGTTAGACTACCACGTTGACCGACTGAGCTACCTGATTAACAGAAGTACACAAGCCCAGCTGTACTACACTTATATCCTAAACAAAATCCAGGGGATGTAGCTGTATATACGGAAATACCACAGTGCAGCGAAACAGGGATCCTTAAATAACGTATTTTCACATAAACCTTGTCAGAATAAATTGCAGATGCAAGAAGAAGGCCAACCTCTAGAAAGAAATTACAAAATTATCTATTTACCGTCCGAGTTGAAAGTTCGTGGATGCATGCTATGTGCCAGTTGAATAGAACGCATCACGTATTCCTTGGCTTTTTCCTTCATCTTGAGCACCTTGTCATATATGTTGCCTAATCGACTTGCTGCTATAGCTTCCTGTTCCATTTCCGTTCTCTCGCGCGTGCGCAGTACAGCAACTTTATACCAATCAACCACATCCCAGACCATGTCCATATTCACTTCCTCATCGTCTTTGATGGTCTGCTCGAACAACTTGTCACCTTTACAGATAAGTGAGAAAAAACAATAAATTATTTAAAAAGCATGTATACATAAAGATTTCAAGACTTCAATTCTAAAGGCTGTAAAAAACACCTAACGAACAAAAGGATTTTGTTTCCACATATAGATATGAATATTCTAATAAGATAATCAAAGAATACTGCCGGTGCTATGCCCCTTGGCGGAACACAGCGAATAGATATTTTAAAAAGTTTCCTTTTTTTCAGCATCTCTTTGTCCCTTCATAAAACAAGAGAATCCTGAAATGTCAACATAACCATAATTCGAACTCAAAATCGATAAAACTAGGGCAAAATATGAACAAAGGAAAGCCAATAAGACCAGTTGTTCCGGAAGCGTCTTCTGCTTCATCGATGACCTCCGCCATGTTAATCTTAGTCGAACTGAAGTAATATCACGTGCTCACGAGAACTCGGGTAGTGACAACAGAACCACAAGGCAATCAAATGAGCATATTCAAAAACATGGACCTTCAAATTCCACAAAGAAATAACATATTTCCCAGAGAGATCCTGATGACGACTATAAAACTTGCCCTTAGTCTTGGTTACGATGCAGAAAATGTTCAGTTCAAAGTCGCTCTATACAATACCATAACTTGTTACTGCTTCTTTTTCCGAAATCTGCAAATTCAGTGAGGGCTAGAGCTGGATTCGAACCCTGTACCTCAAATTGTAATACTGTCGCTCTAACCGACTTAGTTATATGGTCAATGGAAATGTCATGACCAAGGTGTGCCAAAGTTATATCCAAAGCAAAGTTATGGGTAAGTTACTGTATATATAAAATACAGCGGGACAGGGATCCCTACATATAAAAGAGTATGCTATTCATAACTAAAGAAAATACTAAATTAAATACTAAGTGAAAACAACAGTTGATAAATACAGAAATAAGATGACATTGTTTCTGAATTAAGGGCAGATTTCTTCCCTTCAATGCTTTTGTAATTTGCCTATATTGCTCACTTACCAACATCTATTGCTTGCATAGCATCAGCAGTACACGTATGCATAATGATGTCATCCTCGAGCGAATCACATTCCAGTCCTACATTTTGTGCATCCAGACATTTTGTCCTTGCTTCGTGAATCGGCATAGAACAGTTACTCATTTCGGACAGCCCACGCTGATAATGGCCATTCTGAATTGCAGTAACACCGTTCCGGAAGTGAAACCTTGCAAGATTGAGATACAAATTACCCCTGATATGGTCTATTTCAACTGTCTGTAAACTTTTGTAATACAGATCTATCCTATCTTCCAGGTTAAAATGCATGTCCGTGGTTCTTGTGAAATCCAACCAACAGCTGTCAATAGACGTGCAAAGCTTCGTTCTCCAGGCTTCTGTATTGCACAAAATGCCATTTTTATAAGCATAGGAAAAAAACTTGAATGCCTCCTTGTAGTGGAGTATAGTTTTTCTAGCTGTGCTGCGCCGTAATATTCCCGCTTCTGCTAATCTCCAGTAGGCCATTGCTGCATTCTTAGCGGCAGATACCGACTCCTCGTCCTTCGCCGCTGCCTCGAAGGCTCTACAATAGCAGTCTGCTGCCTTACTAAACCTCTTATAGCTGACCGTTGTATCCAGACTCTTTGCAACAGAGGTATAACTTTCATTACCTTTCTTCCTTAGTCTCACAGACAGGCTGTCAGCCTCAGTCGTGTTTTCTACAGAAAAAAAATAATCAAAACACATCATTGTACAGCAAAACATATTTACAATAACAATTGCGAACAAAAAAATCATGACGAAAAGGTATTGACGCATCCCCTGTAACGATGTAGTACAATGAACATAAACTCTATTATGAAGTTTGACTTAGCAAGGCAGTTTCCGTTAGCCAATGATCTTTTCATATACACCCAACGATACTAAGTTCATACGATCAATTGGTCTCTGTTTTATTTTTCAATATTGTTGGAACAATAACATGATTGAGGTGAATCACGAAACATGAATTGAGAAAGAAAAAGAAAAAGCCATGAATGAACCTAAATCAAGACAGGATTTGTCAGATAAAAAAACAACAACCCCAAAACAACTATGAATAATTCGAAATCACTGCAATAACATTGCTTATTACCAGATGGCTCGTTGGCTCCTTTAATGTATGGGAAATCAGTGTTCGGTGCATTATTCTTCTCCTTATGAGCTTCTGTGTAACTTTCCGAGTCCGAGTATTGTTCAGAGGAATCAGATGATTCTTCATCTTCATCGCTGTTACTTTTGTTCAGGAATTCAGTGTTTGATTCATTTTTCTTCTCCGTAGGAGCCTCTGTGTGGCATTCCAAGTATTGTGCAGATGATTCCTCACCTTCGTTGCTGTCACTTTGGTCCGGGAATTTAGCGTTTGATTTATTTTCCATCACCACTTCTATACAATAATTTTGGTCCGATGATTGAATGATTGTATATTCATCCTGACGGTCGTCTTTGTTACGTTTTCGGTTCTTTTTCCGTGATTCTTTTTGTTTTCTTGAATATGGAACGTTTGATTCATCATGCGTTTGCTTACTTTCAACACAACCCATGATATCTGTTGTACCACAGTTTCAAATGATACGAATAGGTACACACTGGTTAGTCTTTCGTCCTAGTCTGTGGTCAGTCAGAGGATATCCAAGTTCGGGAACCTCCAGTCCTGATGAATCATCTGAAATGGAAACAAACCCTATGAAAATACAGCTGTCGTTTTGCAAAATGTTTACGATACATGTACAAACAGTATGCCTAAACGTAACAGCAATCTTCCTCTTTTTCTGATAATAAGAAAGTGTCAGGCCCAGAGGGTCAGTATTTTTCACGTTGACCGATAATCAATAATGAAAAATATTCTAATGAAACATACATGTAAAACTGGCTCACAAGGAACATGGTTATCGAAAGCAAGTCATTTCCTGATCCAATGAAAGCTAAATAGTAAATTTAGACGAAATATGATCAAATCTTTAGTAGGATTTGAAATACATAAACACCCAAAAGTATCCAGTTTGTGATTAGCCTCAAGTAGAACCACATGCTACCTAAACACAACTGGTTCAACGTAACCAAAGATGATTTATAGAAAATACAATTTAGATCTGTATAAATATATATCTCGTTATAGGGAAAGGATTGCATCTGGTTCCAGTTAATAACCTAGGGACTAATAGTCTAGGGCAGCGTCCAAACCCTGGGGTTATCCTGGTAGCATGCTTGTATTGGTCTCTTAACGTCAAAAAGCCCATGATAACAAGTCTAATTAATCAGTATATTTTGAGAGTTAATATCATAAACATATTATGTTTTTTTTCTTTCTTCTAATTAATGAATGGATGGACTTTCTACATCCACTGCACATTTACATTTAAGCCGGACTTCTTCACANCCCCCCCCCCCCCCCCCCCCCCAACATAAGGCAAGTTATAAATGATAATGGACAATACCATGTTTTAAAATTGTTAGTACAAGCAGAAGTTGTAGATAAATACATTTTATGCTTAAAGACTTAGAGTAAACATTCTCATGATATATAGAAAATATATAATTGTATCTTCCTTTACCTGTTTTCGACCAAAACTGAAAAATAATAGATATATTCCTGCTCTTGATTATATACATATATATATATATCAATAATAAAGGAACTCGACAAACAACAATCTTGTGAGATAAACATCAGTTTACACGAAGTATACCTTCCACATATACAACCCCCTGTATACTTTACCTGGTATTGATTTTTTACGTAAGCTTTTCCTGTGAATAAACTCGACTACACACACATATACAATATCACCGACAGTTCTGGTTTAAGTATTGAACACTGATGAACACATATTATGTGTATAAGTTGTGCTGTTTCGCAATAACATTGCGTAGCTTTTTTGTGAGAATAAAATGAAATAAACAATCTCTAGTGAAATAGATTACAGTCGGTTGCACAATACACATTCTCGTGTGAAATAGCTGTGGCTAATAGGTCCGTTGCACACAATTCTTTGTTGAATATTTTACATACCCTAAACCGTCCACTTCAGCACATTTATAGAGGATGTATCACACAATTTCTTATTATCAACAGACAACACCACGTGGCTAGTTATAGCTACATCTACCCTGCTACACAGGTAAACGTAAATGCCAACATACAAAATACGGTCCTTGATAACCATTTAAATACACAACAGCTGACCACCCGATGATCTGTATATATACCTATTGCACTGACCATTCATTAAGGTATACAGATAGGGTCTCGATCTCCAGGTAAACTGCTGTTCTGACAACTCTAGACGCTGTATTTACATTCTATGACAGTTATATCAGTACTCATAACATACCCGATCACTAAGGAGTTCCCATAATGAAACCATTCAGTCAAACATTCCGGTAATACCCACCTCATTCTCATCTGTTTATGGTTATATTTCCCTGACTATTGGCTAAGAAGCTACTAATATGCGAATAATAAAGTGTTAGTAAATGTACACAGGTACATGTACATACATGAATCTGTACAGGTAATTGGCACTGGTCTCTCAACTGCGCTGGTATAGACGTGATATATGTGTCACATAATGACACGGATGAATGGCGTGCCTTGCAGTTTTTCACCTACCTTACTGTGTCACACTGCCGGCACTGTGTGTGTTTGTGTGTGTATTTCACAATATATATAATGTACATTGTATTAACTGTACTAGACACTGTCAAAAATGCGAGTGTGTACGTTTGTGTGTATTTCACAATATATATCCTTCCACATACTACACTTTGTCAATAAAGGATATGTATGTGTGAGAACACGGTGTTTGTAAGAATCCTGTATGTTTACCTGTGATTCAGTAACGGGAAATCTAACAATGAGGTATACTATGTTATGCTTTTGTATTATCTCCACATTACATTTGTTTGTTTGGGGTTTAACGTTCTAGCAACAGCTAGGGTCATATGATGACAGCATCCAATGGCGGATACAAGGATGTAACCAGGGCAACACCGTTTGTTTTTAAATTCCCCAAATTTCCAAGACTTTTGAACATTTTCTTCCACTTCTTATGTTAATTTCTATTTCTTCTCCTAACCAACAATTTCAATAGTTATAGGCCTGAGGTAGTTCAACAAACAAAACCCCAAACAATAGGGTATTACTCACATTATTGTGAATATCAGCAAGCTTAAGTGTTCAGTAAGGTCAATTGTCAAAGCACACCAAGTCTTTGTTTTACCTGACCCTACCTGGTTGTTCCTGTTATATAGGTATTTCGTGTAGTTATCCTCCATATCAAAGCGGCGCTGGGCTGTTCCATCAGGGGATTTAGGTAAAGGAAGTTAAATTCAGATAAAACTGTTATTCAGAGTCTAATAGTGTAGTCTTCATAACTAATGACTGCAAACAATTTAAAACGTAGCTATAATGTAACACATTCTCGGGTCCATATTGTTTATGCTATCGTTGAGTAAGCTTTTTTTTTTTACCGAATGGTGATATAAACCCCCCAAACGACAAAAATGAAATGGAACTCATCGATTTAGTGCCAAAAATAGCTATAAAGTAACAAATTATAGGGTGATGAAGGAAAAATAAGATACATTAAAATTAGAATGTAATTTGATAGAAATAGATGATATTTGAAACGGAGAATTTGTTGAGGGGACTGTAATAGCATATCAACACAGAAGATACTAGGTTAGTCTGTAATAGCATAGGAGAGAGGGCTTCCAAGTTTGTCTTAAATAACATAACAACAGAGGGGTACCAAGTGAGTATCTTATAACATAGCAACAGAGGGGTACCAGGGTTGTCTATAACAGCAAAACAGAGGTACTCATGTTAATCGGTAATAGCATAACACCAGACGCCTATCATAGCAACAAAAGGATTACCAGGTAGGCCTATAAAAGCATTTCAAAAGAAGGGATACCATCTAATAAAAGTCAAATATTTTCGATAACTGGGAATTTTTGTGTTTGTATCACATTATTTAGAACTAAAACAACAATTTGAACAATGAAAAGAAGCATTGCAATTAGCAAAATATTTTATTTATTCATCACAATGCCATAAATATAAGAGAGAATAACAATAAATACTAACAATGACATCAAAATGGCCCGATCAATTTAATCAATTATCAGCTCATGTTTTCATGATAACCTTATTTCAAACTTATTTACTTTGTCACATAACAATAAATTGGTATTGTGATAAATACTATAAAATCGTACGTTATTACATAACAATAATGCAAACCACCATTCATAATCATTAAATGGTAGTTCACTAGAGGAGAGGGATGACAATCACAATCGTACAACCATAATGCAATGTGAAAATAATATACGTCGAATGCGAGTAATTAATTAATAATTGTTTAATGAATTCCACATTTTACTGAAGCTTGATAAGCAACAGAGAAACATAGCCTGCAGAGTGATCTATAAAACAACGATGGTAATTATAACAGGAATAATAAACTTCATTTAGGATCAAAGCAAATATTTCACAATGGTCTCTTATTCGTAAAATGGATGAGTTAAAACATATGGATATAATACGAAGTACACCTTACGCATATACTATTATCACAGTTAGCTAGCACATGCAAACAACGTAACTAAGATATCTTATCTGTCTTATTACATATTAAATATAAAATTGTCCTCTACAAGTATACAGGAAAATTATCACAGACGCAAAATATTTCTTAATAAGGTTTCACCTGTAAGATAATCAGTAAAATATACTAATACTAATACCATATTAGTACACATGCTTATTTAGCAAAAGAAAGAAACATACAAATAGATAGAATACAGGATCATGTATTGCGAGTAAAATAAAATAAAATCAATACACTATACTATATTTTCTTTCTTAAGACAAACACATACAAACATGGGTACATGTTACAAGATGTAATACAAACACGCATACACAGATACATACATCAATACATTTAAATAGCAAACATACATGTACATATATACGCACAAAGCATGTATACAAACATCCATACACAGATATATACATCGATACATTTACATAGGATACAAACATGCATTTACATAGCAAACATACATGCACAAATATACGCACATAGCATGTATACAAACAGTCATACATGCATACATAAACATAACACATACATATAGTTTATGTAAAAACGTATACTTCAGTATGTTTCACTCTAGATCCCTAAATTGTATCGGTATATAAAACATTTCGAAGGGAATCATCAAACATTTCATCACATTTTGCAATCAGAACAGATACATGTGTAGATAAGGAATGCATACATACATACACGCATACATGCACACATCAACACATGCACTCACATACATACATGCATGCATACACGCACGCATATACACAAACATACATGCACAAATAAACATGCAGTATATACATTATTGTTTTAGTATACACTTTACACACTATCATGCACAAACATCTTAAATCCAATAGTGTATTTCACTTTAGGTTTTTGCTAGCATATTGTAAATGCAAAATATATATCACCCATATTTCTCCTGTACGGTACTCAGTAAAAACAACTTATACCCTACTAGCACACATGCTTATGTAGCGAAAAAGTTACAAAATTACAGAATACAGGCTAATGAACTGCAAGTAAAATAAGATAAAACCAAAACACTATGCTATGATATTTATTAAAATTGGCAGAATGGTGCTTTGATAAGGTTTATCAATTTGGAAATATGTTATGTCTACGTTTGACTTTATACACAAACATTGTTGTTGTTAAACGTGTCGTAATCTTTCAAGACCTACTGGTCCCTTTATCAAGCTTTCTTTGATACGTACATTATGTATAAAGTAAAACTGTAATATTTGACAGAATGGTGATTCAAATGGAGCACACTAGAAATATTTTTAACAATGATAAACAGCATACTTTTCATGTTTGTGGTTATAAGTCTGAAATAGCCGTTCAGTTATGGCACCTCTTCAAAACATATGAAGTTATTAAATAAGTACATGATTTCAACAAAAATGACGGACGCATTTGATGATTTGGCTGCAGCAAAACCGTTTTCAGATCATTGAGGAGGAGTTGGGGTTAATTCGTAACCTTCGGTATCTTATGTAATACATCAGTTCGATTAGCCTGTGCTAATATTCAACGGATCAATTTCTTTAATATCACACTTAGAAAAGACACAAAAGAGTACTCCTAATTATGCAGGGACTGTGACATTAATTACCTGTACGATAACATGCAGGACACAACACGCCAATCATTTCTCCAAATCTGCAATTATCATTGAAACAAATGCAGAAATATGGACACAAATTGATATAATGCGAGAATTGTGACCAAAATCCGAAAAGCAATCTCACAAGAAAGGTTTTCACGAAACCCTGATGGTAAGGCAACTAGAAGATTAGGATAATTTAAATTGACATACCATCTACTGTGCACATGTCTTTTGAAGATTGACATAGTTTGTAAAATTACGATTTTTGTCTATAATTGGAAAGATCACATGTCGAAAAACTTCGGAAGTGGAATTATTTTCGTTACTTTCCAGAGGCTGAGAAAAATGCAGTGGTATCAATCAAGTTTAAATTAAATGTCATTGATAAAGGAAATGTAATAACTCACTATCTTTAACATCTTACAGTGTACACAATTAAGACCTTTAGCCTTGTGAACGTCCAATGACTCTTAGTACATTCTTAAATTACTCTAGGAATTGAAAATTTGTATCTTAAATTGCTCATTTGCATACTAGTAGATTGATATATTATTTTACTTTTAATTTTACATAATTCTAAAAATTATATCAATGATTACGTTGATGTGTGATATATTTAGGATTTAACATAGCTTGACTTTAGCGTCATCAATACAGACTCTACCAAGTGAAATCCTGCGGGAAGACAGAAAAAGGGTTCCATAACATAACTTATTCAGCAGGTTTGAATGTATCTGTATCGTAAGAATTTTTCATTTAAAATGTGTTTGCATCTGTATTTAAGGATCCCCGTACCACTTTAAAAAATAGTAACAAAATCTTGGAAACTTGTTCATCTTGACTATTACCTTGATAAATCATTTCTGACAAGTATAAATACCTAGCGGCAATTGTATTAAAAATAATAAAGATGAAATAAACACGATACAATCCACCAGAGTGTAAAAACTGTGTAATAACTCATCAGGGCTAAACAGTTTGGTTGTTTCGAGAGGAAATTGAATGTTTTTGTCTTATTGAAGTTAAAACAACCTACACTAAAGTTAAACGATGGCATGTGTAATCACATGTTTGTGTGCTGCTGTTATCTTTAATTAGATTTGCTATTCTTTTCACAGGCCCTTCATCCGGTTGTACCGGCGGTTAAGGAGCTTGGTAATCTCCTCCGTAATAACCTTCCATTGGACCCCGTTCTCCTCCACATTTGCCCTGTCGGGGTGGTAGTTCACGACAGCTTTCTGATACAGTTTCTTTGTTTTACTATAATCTATGTCTGATGGTTTCGATAGTACCTCGAATAGTTCCTTGTGCAGTGGATTCTTCGGTGGGAATTTCCTACGGAAATAGAACAGAAAACAAATTACCTATTAAGGTAATGATAGGTGGAGAGATATAATGCATTGAAGATAAATTTTATAAACATTTTGTTTTGATTTGTATTTTTTTTAAACGTCCTTGAAACAGGTATGGACAGGTGATTAATGAGACAACGCCGAAAAATAGGGGAGAGAAAAATGATAAGATAATGATTGGTAAACAAACCTATAGGCTAGTTTCTTTTGATCATGTTTGTCTAGTATTTTGGTTAAAATCCGTTGAACAGCTAAGGACTTTAAAGGACGTGTCTCCACGTGTGTATGGTATGCGCACAGGTTTGTGTGCTGGAGGCGGTATGTTGGTTTTGCCTTCTTGCAATAGTGCGGATCTGATGCCGACTTCAAAAGAGCTTTCGCTATGAAATACAACGCATAGAGTCCCAAGCATAGTGTGTCACCCGGTCACATTATGCTGACAAAGGGCGATCAAGTTGTTATCATTACCCTTAATGCTGAACGTTAAGCATGAATCAACAGCTACCACTTTTAAGGAATTTCGTATGTGTTGGCGTAGGGACTAAACCAATTGCCTCCCATACTTGAGCGAACAATCTACGCCAAAGGTGAGGTATTCCAAAGTAAGTGGGAGAAAATGTAAAAGATCCTAAATGTTACAGTGGGCAAGGTAGATTCATTTTGTCATTGTTGTGTCCCCATATTAATTGACATGCAGTGTATAACGGTAGTGTATTTATTCTTTGCTCCATCTCCGACCTGTGAGGATGGCAATATAGCATTCTTTTAGGTAGGCTAACGCTAGTTTGTGCCGATATAATGTCGGCAGACTTACTCGTATACATAGTCAAGGAAACCAATATCTCCCTTCTTGTCAGCCTTTTCGAGATCGTCAAGTTGTTCTTTTATATCTTTCTTTATCTCCTCCCTTGCTTTGTTCCATTCTGCATCGTCTTCTTCTTGTGTTTCATGTTGATACTTTTTCAAAATTTCAGAGGCATCTTTAAACCAGTCTGAATTAAATATGAATAAAATTTTAATCAATGAAATTATAGAATCTGTAGGCGTTTTATGTTGCATTAAACGAGCAATATACAGAAACAAATTAATAAAATTGGTACATGTTCTGTCTCAATTTACCAGGATAAATATTTTAATGAATACTTTCCGAAACAAATGATTATTTATCATTCCTAGTAATGAATACAGAATTGCTGACCCTCAATTTCACCTATTTTGTTTTGTATATGTCCTAAGTATGTATAAATACTTATTTTAGAGTAATTGCTTCCGTATTTGAAATATTATATCTTTCAAAGATATAAACTAATATTATATGACACGGAAGATAATAAAACGCAATCAGCGGATCCAGCTCTTGACTTAAAGTTGTGGTATGTACTATTGGTCTAACCGAATGAGCTACCTAGTTAATGAAAGTGTCCGTGTCAAACTGTGCTAGTTATATCAATAACGAAATTGAACGAAGTTTACTGTATATACGAAAAACAGTGCAGTGAGACTGACATATTAACGACAATCTAATCATTGACCTATCTATATTACAATATTTAATTTTAAGGTACATTTACAATTATCACAAATAATATGAAGTAAGAATGCAAATATTGAATTGTACGTAGTAAATAATTTTTATTGAACCTTATTTTCATGTCATATATTTAGGGATCATCAGTAGAAATAAAGGTCAAAAGAATGAAAATCCTTGTGTAAAATATTCCGAAACACGAGGACAAATGTAAGAAAAGGGGGAAGGTGACCTTAAAACCCTTAATAACGTTTCGTTATCATAATATCAAAATAATCAATTTTCGTTCATGATCCCCGTAGCACTGCCAAAAACTGTAACATCGTATTAGAAACACATTTGCTCTGATGTATCTGGACAACGGACGTATCAAGGAATAGATGTGCTTTACTTGTATCCCAAACAAATTAGGTGGAGGCAACTGTAAATAAGGGAAAAACATATTGCAGTGGGACAGGGATCCTTACACAAGTATTTAATGTAAATCGTGCCAGAACAAATACCAGATGGAAGGTGAAGGCCGACCTATTGAATAAAATGGCAAAATACTAAATTTACCCTCCGAGTTGAAAGTTCGTGGATGCATGCTATGTGCCAGTTGAATAGAACGCATCACGTATTCCTTGGCTTTGTCCTTCATCTTGAGCACTTTGTCATATATTTTGCCTAGTCGACTTGCTGCTATAGCTTCTTGTTCCATTTCCGTTCTCTCACGTGTGCGCAGTACTGCAACTTTAAACCAATCAACCACATCCCAGACCATGTCCATATTTACCATTTCATCCCCTTTGATGGTCTGCTCGAACAACTCGTCACCTTTACAGATAAGAAAGAAAACAGAAATATATTATTTGTATACATGTTAAATACATGCTCGAATTTGTCAAGTTTCCAAGTCTCTGATTCCACAGGCTGATAAAATGTTTAGTGCATGTGTATATGAAAAATTTAATCAGATAAACAAAGAAAACTGCCAGTGGTAAAACTTCGAACGGGACACTGCAACAATAAATATTGTATACACTGTTGTTTTTCCAACTTCACCATGACCCTGCACAAAGAGACTATATAAGCTGACCAGGGACAGGAAAGGTTCAACCCAAATCGGGACTCTAAATTTTTTCGGACACCTGCAAATTATTTAAATTCTACTTTGATCTGTTAATTTAGCCATGATAAACCACTACCGGTATACATCTTTCAAATACTTCACCAGCAAAGTGTAATCTATCTAATTATCCTTGTGCTTGGATTACAAATACGCAAATTAAGGATCCCTGTACCACAAGAAACTGTGTCTACTCATTGGACATTACACTTCGAGTTGTTATATTGTCGCTTAAGCCGACTGAGCTACATGGTCAACGGGAGTATCCTGACCCAACTGTGCTACAGTTGTTACAGAGTGCTTAAACGAAATAATGGGGATGTATAGACGGAAGAACAAGATTTCTATGGGACAGGTTGGTTGGTTGTGCAGATTTCATCGTACTATCAAAAGCTAAAGTCCTTTAATTACGTGCGTTGTGTATGCGTGCATGTTTGTATGTGTGTTTATTAATGAATTTAGGGCAGATTTCTTCCCTTGAATGCTTTTGTTATTTGCATATATTGATCACTTAACAACATCTATTGCTTGCATGGCATCCGCAGTACACGTATGCATAATGACGTCATCCTCTAGATAATCACATTCCAGTCCTACATTCTTTGCATCCAGACATTGTTTCCTAGCTTCGTGAATTGGCATAGAACAGTTATTTAACTCGGACATCCCACGCTGATATTGGCCATTCTGAATTGCAGTAACACCATTCCGGAAGTGGAATCTTGCAAGATTGAGATAAAAATTACCCCTAATATAGTCTATTTCAACTACCTGTAGTATGTTGTAATACATATCTATCCTTTCTTCCAGGTCAAAATGCGTGTGCGTGGTTCCTGTAAAGTCCGACCAACAGCCGTCAATCGACGAGCTAAGCTGCGTGTTCCAGGCTTGTGTATTGCACAAAAGGCCATTTTTATATGCATAGGAGAAATATCTAAATACCTCTTTGTAGTAAAATATAGTATTTGCAACTGTGCTATCCTCTTCTATTTTTACTTCTGCTAATTTCCAGTAGGCCGTTGCTGCATTCTTAGCGGCAGATATCGACTCCTCGTCTTTCGTGGCCGCCTCGAACGCCCTACAATAGCAGTTTGCTGCCTTGCTTAACCTACTTAGTTTGATCGCTGCACACAGACCCTGTGTAACAGAGGTGTATATTCCATTGCCTTCTTTCCTTAGCCTCACAGACAGGCTGTCAGCCTTGGTCTTGTTTGCTGCAGAAACAGAACCAAATCATACGCATCACTAAACAGCAAAACACATTTGCAACAACGTTTATTGCAAACAAAAGTTAATGACAAAATATAATATACCCATCCCCTAACACTTTTCCGTGCCATGAACAACCGATCTATAACAAAGTTTGGCTTAGCAAGGTCGTTTCTATGATTCCTTCAATACAAAAGTGAAAAAGGCAAATGTTTATATTAGCCAATGAACTTTCTTAATATACACACTCAAAAAAGATCATTAGATTAAGTGTTCTCTATTCCTCAATATTGTTGAGTAACTGATCGATTTGGTCTGATTTTTTTGTTTAACGTCCTATTAACAGCAAAAGTCATTTAATGACGTCCCTCCATGCGTATTATGTATTTGTGCATGTATGTATGTGTGCCAGATACAGGATATGTTGGTGTATTTGACTCCTTGTGATAGCGCGGATCTGATGCCGACTTTATAGTGCTATCTCACTGAAATACCATGCCTAATGCATCCAGCACAGCCTTCCGCCCCGTCACATTATACTGACAACGGGTGCACTTGTTGTTGTCATTACCCTTAATACTTACCGGGAAGAAGTGTTCGGTAGTCCCGGCCTTGGGACAGAACCCACTGCTTTACTCACCTGGGCGAACGCCCAACATTAAAGCTACAAGTGAGGTATTGCCAAGCAAGGCGCTAGAACGCAAAAGATAGTTTGAAATAGAAAGCCATATAAAGATCCCAAACATTGCAATGGTGGGTACAGCAGATTTATTTTGGTCGCTTTATGTCCCCATGTAGAGGGCACAAATGCAAATCCCCAAATATGCAGGGGGTTCCTACATTAGTTGTCTCTTACGGTAGAAGGCAGTTGGTAACAGCAGGTGTATTTTGTTCTCGATCCCCGACCTGCAGGGGTGGTATCCTATTGATCTTCCAAATGTACCTGATTGCACATAACATCCAATTACTTGAAAAATGTAATTAATTGCCATTGCACATTACCATTACCCCATGCCTGGAGTCACGTCCTTAAAAACAAATTAAAACCAAACCGAAACGAAGAAAAACCTATATCGTAACTCAGATGACCTTGAAGATGACAAAAAACCATTCAATTCTCGTATCTCAATAGTTGTAAAGATTATGCTTGGTTTATCTTTCCCATTTGTTCTTCCAAATTCACTCCAAAAACATGTAGACATTCCTTGATTGTTCATCAACTATCTCTGGAAGTTTAAAAGTGACCCCTAGCTTCATTACATAAATAAAACCCAATGTTTATGTTACTCACTCACTCGTTTGTAATGTGTAATGGTAATTAATTACATTGACAATGAAATTTTAATTTAATTTATTACATTACTAAAACCATGTAATGGTAATGGTGATGCTACTTTTCCAATGTAATGTATTATTCAATTAATTTCATTACCAATGTAATGGCCTCTTGCCTGCGTGCCTCCATGTGTGTTGTTTATGCGTGCATGTGTGTATGTGTGCATGAGACAGGGTATGTAAATGAATTCAAGTTTGTTTTGGATTAAGTATGGACATTTTGACACATCGTTCGTTTGCTTACCCATGATGAATGTTGTATCACAGTTTTAAATAAAACCAAAAAGTATACACTGGTCAGTTCTTTGTCCTAGTCTGTGGTATGTCTGAAGATATCAAAGTTCGGGAACCGCCAGTCATGATGAAAAATCTGAAATGCAAATCATCTGTGTCGACAAAAGAATACAGTTGTAATCTTACAAAATATTAACAGTACATGTACATAGTGCAAAAACTGTAGCATTTGATTGGAAGAAAGCAAAAGTCCCAGAAAGCCTGTTTTGTTCACTTTGATTGTTGGCAAATATTCCTATTTAACATATATGTTATACTGCAAATATTTCCAAAGTTCGGTTCTGGCTCACAAGAACATCGTTTATTGATAGGGTGTCAGTACCTGGTTAAAAGGAATATGATCAACTGTTCATGAGAAGTTGATTTCAAAAGTAACAAAAAAATGATGCTTCATCGGAAAAACAATTAATAAATATGTATTCGGTTATATGCAAATGATTTCAACTGGTTCTTTCAACTGGTTCAATGTTATGACATAGGGACTAATCGTGCAGGACAGCGTCCGACCACTGAGGTTATCCTGGTTGCATGACAGTATTAATCTTTTAATTTCCAACAAGTAAATATTTGATTATATTTTGGGGATCTGAACAGTTTCCATAGTATGGCCTTTCAGAGGAAGTCATCAAGGAAGGGAAATACCCCTGGTCTTATTCAGCTTGAATGACTGTGCATATCTTTTTATCGCCAGAAATTATGTATTAATAGTTAAAGGAGGGAGATCTGCAACCTGGCAAAATTCCTTTGTCAATTATGATAACTTCAGTGCATTATTCGCAACATTTGTTTATATGTTGATCGAGTTTATAATTAGAACCAGACTACGGGTCTTGAAAAGAGTTTCTCTAAACACTCTCTTGATACATAGAAAAATACATATTTTAAGTCTTAAATTGCTTGTATTTCGACAGCTAGACCCTGTCTAATAATACTGACTCTATCTCTTATCTTATTGATATATGTATATATAGAAGGAAGTCGACAAATAACAAGCTACGTATATATACAACAGTGTACACGTTGTATACACTCCACATACACAACCCGTTTTACCTAAGCTTTTCCTGTGCATTAACTCACCTTTACACACATACAAAATATCACCGACAGTTCTGGTTTAAATATTGAAGACTGATGTACAGATATCATGTTTATATGTTGTGTTGTTTCGCAATAACATTGAGTTGGATATTTGTGAGAATTAAATGAAATAAACATTCTCTAGTGAAATAGATTACAGTTGGTTGCACAATACACATTCACACCGTTGAGCACAATTGGCTGTTGAATATTCACTTGAACCGTCAAGTTTAGCACATTTAAAGAAGATGTATCACACAATTCCTTATTATCAACAGACAACACACATGGCTATTTATAGCTTGCTACATCTACCCTGCTACATAGTACACGTAAATGCCGAGATACAAAACACGGTCGTTGTGATCCATTTAAATACACCACAGCTGACCACGCGATGATCTGTGTATATACCTACTGCACTGACCATTCATCAAGGTATACCAATAGGGTCCAAGTATACGGCTGCTCTGGCAACTCCACACGTCGTATTTACATTCTATGTCAGGTATATCAGTACTCATAATATACACAATCAATGAGGAAATTCCCATAATGAAACGATTCAGTCAAACTTCCGGATACTACTCACCTGTATATGGCTATTTCCCATACTTTTGGCGTAGAAATTACTTATATCCGAATAATAAAATGCTAATAAGTACACACAGTTACATGTACATACAGGTAGATCTAAAGGTAGTTTAGTCTTCTAAACTACTGGTCTCGATACCGTACTGCTATATACATAATGTATGTGTAATATAACGACACGGACGAATGACGGGCGTTGCAGTTTTTCACCTGCCTTACTTCGTCACAATGTGTGTGTGTGTGTGTGTGTGTGTGTTTCACAATAAGGATCCTAATACACGCTTGGTCAATAAAGGATATGTATGTGTGAACATGGGTGTATATTGATCTGCAGTGTTTTACCTGTGTGGCAGTAACGTGATATATATCAAGGAAGTATGCTATTTGATGTATTATTTCCACAGTGTATTGTTTGTGTGGGGTTTAACGTCCTCGCAATAGCATATTTAGACGACACCCAGTGGCAGAAACAGGGATGTAACTCTTGCTGAAAGGGCAAAACCTTTTATTCTCTCAAAAATTCCCCTAGGCCAAGTTTTCAAAAACGTTGCCTCCACTCTTAAGTGAATTTATCTTTGCATGGTAAGATTTTCTATATCTTCCCCTAGCAAACAATTTCTATAGCTATAGACCCGAGGATGTTACCCAAACAATAGGGGATTGACTCCCATATTGTCTATGTCAACAAGCTTAAGTGTCCAGTCAGGCTAATGGACAAAATTCATCAGGTCTTTGTTTTACCCGACCTTACCTGGTTGTTCTTGTACTATATGTATTGCTGTGTAGGGATCATCCCTATCAAAGGGGAGTTGGGCTGTACCATCAGAAAAATTAGGTAAAGGAAGTTATCTTCAGATAAATACTATTAAACAGAGTCAAATATTGTAGAGTAATATTCATTACAATCAATTTCACAATTTAGCAAATTATCGTGATTTTATTTTAAAAAAGCACATGACCTTTCTCACAAATATATTACAATTAATTTTGTACGGTTGTAAATAATTTTGAAAAGATAATAAGTTTAAAATTGAAAACACACTGATAGATTGAGGAACAATCTATTTTTATAGTATCTTTAATCTGTGGTTTCAACAAATTATTGGGTTAATGTGGTTATTCCATTGGCATTTCGTGGCAGAATACATTAGATCAGTACCATACACCTAGCTTTAATGTAAACAATTATTGGCTGATGTAAATGAACAATAAAATATAGCAGGATTAGAAAGTAATTTAATAAAATGAGATTATATATATGAATATAATATATTGAGGCGATCGAAGAAATGGTACACGCATTGCTATTATTAAGGAATTTGGTCAGAACAAAATAGTAAATGAGTGTTTGGAAAACTACTTAAAGATGATTTACTTTGACATTATTTTATAGAAAACTACTTAAAGATGATTTACTTTGACATTATTTTGCAAGCTCTTTGATGCTGTATTTGATTTGATTTGTTTGGGGTTTAGCGTCATTGCAACAACCAGGGTCATATGAGGAAGGAAACATAGGAAAAAGTACCGTAAACAGAAAGTAGACAGGAAATATAAGAAACATTTAGTTTCTTAAAAATCCCCTTTACAGAAGACAAGATTTTGTTTTATTTTTGTTTTAACGTCCTATTTAAAGCCATTGCCTTTCAAGGACCTGCCGCCATGTTTGTTGTGAATGCGGCCAAGCGTGTATGTGTTCCAGGAGGGGGGGGGGGGGGGGGGGGTATGTTGGTGTACTTGCCTCATTGTGATATCGCGGATCTGACTTTATAGTTCTATCTCACTGAAAAACCATGCCGAAAACACCAAACACAGCATTGCGCCCGGTCACATGGTACTGTCAACGGATGAACCAGTTGTTGTCATTACCTTAAATGCTGAACGTGAAGCAGGGAATACAACTACCAGTTTTAAGGACTTTGGTATGTCCCGTCCTTTGCACATAAGTAATTTCCTTCCTCGCCTAGGCACACGCTCAACAGTAAAGCCAGAAGTAAGGTATTGCCACTAGGAAATACAATTTAATATGAAGTTGACAGAAACATAAAGAACCCAAATATTGCAATGGGTGCAGCATATCTATTTTGGATGCTTTCGTGTCCTCAAATCCCCAATGCTGCAGGCGATTCATATAAAGTCGCCTCATACGATACAAGCATTGGGTAACAGCAGGTGTATTCTTTGCTCGATCCTCGACCTGCAGGAATGTCTAGCTTCAAGAGCACATTCCCATTGTCTTGAAAGATATATATCCAAGGACACTGTGACATCCAGCGAAAGACAGAAATACAAAATAATGCAATTTGAATTATCTGAAACAAATTATCAAATATTTATGACACCCGATTTAATGACCAATGATGATTTGAACAATATCTGGTTTTCCATTAGAAGTTCAAGAATCATAGAATATATTTATACAGTATATTAACTTAAAACTGCATTCATTTGCTAATGCTTGATTGATTGTTTATCCCCTGAAGTTATAACGAATGCAATTGTTTTCTATATAACTGTGTGATATATTCTTGTTTAAATGGGACGAATTACATTCACGTGAAGATTGATTCTGTTAATATATTATCGTTATAACAGTTTTTCGCGGATTTATCTCCTGGTGATGGGACATCATTGTCCTCATTAACAAGCTTCTTGACTTGTTATTTCTTTACTGAGGTGTCCATGTGTTTCTCCATCTGTTCGGAGCTGCTGGCTAGAGTTCGTTGCATCTGGATCATGCAACGACATAGCACCATATATTTTCTCGATGACAGGTTCAAGCATCAAAATGACACCGGCAATATAATAACACTCCCATCACTATTAAGGACATGTCCCAGGACCCAGTGGCATCCTCAATCTAACCTTAGGGTGAAAAACAAAGTCTTAGCATATCGATCACCGTTCATAAGCATTGTTGTAATATTAATTTTTACTAATTAAGACATGAACGACAATGGTTTAAATGCTACCTACCCCTAGATGGTTGACCAAGTCCCTGACCAAACGACATACACATGGTCAATAGTCCCATTGCTGACGTCAACCTGTCCAGTTTCACACAGTCCAGCATTGCTACAGCCAGCAGGCTCCAAAACGCTCCCGGAAATATCCCAAGTACACAACCGTAAGCAATCATTGCAGGGAAATTACGTAAAAATGGAATCAAGATGGTGGACGTTCCACTTACAGCAACAGAAAATATCAATATCGTTTTCTTTTGTACTATTTTCAAATCAGTTAATCAACCAACAAACAATCTAGCAAATACCTCTGTCGCCCCTACCATTGATAAAGCCACGGTTATCTTGTGTCCCTCTAATCCTATAGACTGCATGTGAGCTGGAAATACTGAAAAACTTGACGAATATGAAAATATGATGATTGATAGGGATATAACATACATACTTAGCCGAGGAATACGAAATAAACTAAAATCTATTATTGATATTTTCTTTCTTTTGAACGATTGATTTTTAATTCGATTCTGATCAAAGAATATCTGGGAATCTGCACTCACTTCCGGTTCGTCGTCAGAACAACGTTTGGCTTTAACTAGCAGGTATGGTTGACGTAGAAGGGCTCCAGCAACATACGCATGGAGGAGGGTAGCACTGAACAGAAACATTGAACCTTGGACGCCATATTTATCTATAATATACCGATATAAATAGGGAAACAGGAAGCTGCCGATTCCACTTCCGGATACAACTATTCCATTGGCTAAGGCCCGCCTTTTCTCGAAGTAAAAACTAACTAACGTTGTACAGGGGGAATAAATGAGGCCGCCTCCAAACCCTACAGGGGAAAAAAGAAATACGGCGTTTGATTTATTTAACAGCTACAGTATTTGATTTATACCAATAACAATAATGACTTCAGTTAGCAGCCAGAATTAGTACTGCAGTATAATACTACAATTTTAATTATCAGCTGACATGCAGTTCAATCGCTTATTTTTTATTGATATGTTATATGTATCGTTAGGGTGACATGTTATTTGTCAGTTCAAATGGTGAGTCATATTTTGCAGTTGGATATTTAGAAAATAGCACACAGGGTGTTACCAACTGTATGAGCCAACAAAAGAATCGTGAAGACTCGTTTGCCTTGTTTAGCAATACCTCGCTTTTGGCGTGAATGTTTAGCGTTCGCCCATGTGAGGAAGGCAATGGGTTCTGTCCCCAGGCCGGGACATACCAAAGTCCAAAAATGGTAGTTATTATTCCCTAATTAACGTTCAGCATTTAGGGGAATGGCAACAAGTGGTTCACCCGTTGTCCGTATAATCTGACGGGCGGAATGTTGTGCTGGGTGCCTTCGGCATGGTATTTCAATGAGATAGCACTGTAAAGTAAGCATCAGATCCGCACTTTTGCATGGAGGCAAGCACGCCAACATAGCCTGTCCCCTGCATTCATACACGCAAGCACGCATACACTACACACATGGAGGCACGTCCTTATATGACCTTAGCTCTAGATATGACGTTAAACAAAATCAAACCAAACCAAACCAAACCAATCTCGTCCTGTCCTTCGGGACACCAAAATGACCAGAACAAGCTTAGGGCTGATGCAGCAATTGAAAACCCTGTGATGTTTGTATTTTCGCTGAACCTTTTTATAACGCCTTATTTGGCGATACCCCACTTTAATGTGAACCGTGCGCCCATGTGATGAAGCGTTTAGATCTGTCCCCTATTCAAAACACACCAAAATCATTCATCCACACGTAGTTATTGTAAAGAAAACAATCCAAGGATTGAGCACAACTGCTGACAACATACTTGGCCAAAACTATCGGTAAATTGACGCCCAACATAAACACTTACTGCTCTTTTACTGACTTTCAGAAAGTGTCGGTATACGGCTTGATTAGCCCGTTGTTACATGTAGTATAATATGACCAGGTGAAAAGTCCAGGAAAGGACACACCAGTGAGATTTTACAATAAAGAATTATTTTATTGGTTCAATCACCCGTGGATACTCTCTACATTTGACCTCACCTGTTGCAACTACATAGAACCAAACATACAAGCAAACATATCGAAAGGCAGAATAACTAACCGGATATGACGCCGATTGTCAAATACATCCACTCCATCCTTGAAACGAAAGCAGACACCAGGTAACCGGTCGACATCAGTAGTCCGCCTGTCATCACCACCGTACGGAACGAAAATCTCTCGGCTAGGTGGTTAGCGATTGGCCCTAGGA